TTGGGTAAGCACTTAGCTGCCAAAAGAAAAATCAGTGGTTTGAACCCACCAGTGGCTCTGCAGAAGAGAAAACCTGGCAATATGCTCCCATAAAGATTTCAGCATAGGAAGCACTATGGAGAAGTTCTACTCTATCCTATAAGGTCAGTGTGTGTCAGAATTAACTCAGTAGCACACAACAACATGGTAATTTTTGTTTAATTTTTTGAGGAACTGCCAAACTGTTTTCCACAGATACTGCACCATTTTACCTTCCCACCTGCAGTGCGTGAGGGTTCCAATTTTTCCACATTCTCTCCAAAATTTGTTATTTTCCTTTTATTTTATAATAGAAATCCTAGTGGGTGTGAAGTGGTATCTCATTGTCCTTCTGACTTGCATTTCTCTAATGACTAGTGATGATGATGGGCTGTACATCTTAAAAGAAGTGGAACTCTTGAAACCAGGCCAGGGAGGTGCTCTAGACAGTTTTGTGAACTTACTCAAGCCCTCTGTGACTGTCAACTGCTGCTATTTGTCACCAAAGCAAGCCTCCATTAGAAGCCTTCACCCTAACTCACCCAGCCCTCATTCAGCCAGTCCACAGGAGTGACTGTGCAGGGGCTGTGCAAGGTCTAGTGAGTAGAGAGTAGATGGGTGGACCTGCTCCAGTGGAGGAGCCCCACAAACACCGTAAGTCAACAGAAAAACAAAGAACACAATTGCAGCATTTAAGCCCAGAACCAAAGGATGAGCAGGAACTGATGGAAGAGCCTTCCAGGGGGAGGAACAGCAGGTGCATAGGTCTGGAAGCAAGAAAGAATAGGTGCTCCAGGGCCTGGGAATGTGCCATGTGGTAGCCTGTAGGGTGAGAAGGATGTGGTAGTTAAATTTGTATGTAAACTTGCCTGGGCCTGGTTGAGTGGCTGGAAAGCTGGTGGTAGTTATTCCCCATGATGAGATTGGCAATCAGCTCTATCGTGGGATCTACCACAAGCAGCTGAGTAGTTGCCTTTGGGATATGGTCTGCTTCCTGTAAATAAGGAGAAGCCTTAAGGATAGTCTCTAGCTTATGGCACACTTGGACCCTGCATGTAGCCATGTTGTTGTTCAGCAGCTTGCCATGCTCTGCCGACCTTGGGACTTACAATGGACTTGAATTAATGGCCTGCCATGTGGTTTGGTAACATCGAGACTGTGTCTTTTTACTTGTCAATGTTGGACTTGGCAGCCTCAGCAGCCAGCAGCTATCTGAATGAATAAAAGCCTGTAGTTTCAGTGGGCTGGGAGCTGGAGGCAGAGCTGAAGCCCAAGGCTGAGGGGCTTTCACCAGCCCCTAGAGCCTGGCACTTTGAACTTGGACTTAAAGCCTACAAACTGTAAGAGAATAAACTCCTGTTTGTTAAGGCCATCCCATTTGTGGTATATTCCTGTCAGAGTGGCAATAGGTAACTAGAACAAAGGGGAAAAAGCATGAAAGAGTGAGAGATAGGCTGGGCATCCAGACTCTGACAAAGAGTGTATGTTGTATTCTAAATTTAATACGAGGCCACTGGAGGGCTTTACACAGAAGTGATGCGAGAGTATTCATATCTGGGAAAGCTCAGGCTGACTGTTTTGTAGGCAGAATGTAGAGGGAATGAGGGAACCACAGCAGTTGTCCAGGTGAGAGATGATGGTGGCCAGGACCAAGGTGGTATGGTGGTGGAGGTGAGAAGAGAGGATGACTTCTGGGGACATTTAGGAGGGCAGAGTGATGGACAACAGATAGGCCAGGGCCATGATTGCCCTTGCTCAAGTTGTAGTTCAGCTTTTTGTGCTTGAAGAGCTCACATCCCCCCAAAATCACCATTTTCACACAGTTGTTCTTCTCTTAGACAGAGGGCTTCTCCTACATCTAGCAAACTGTGGGTGGGTCATTAGAGGAAGGGTGGTCATGTAGAGGACAGAACACCAGCATGGATGGGACAGAAACCTGCCTCCTTACTGGCCATGTGATCTTCATGGGGCCTACCTTCTCTGGGCCTCAGCTCCTGAATAACCCTTGGAGCTTAGTGTCTTCATGGGAACTGGGGTGCCAATGGTCTTGATTTACCCTCACCATTCTTGTCTGTCTCCACAGACTCGCCTGCAAGCCGGTGTGGGCTACAGGAACACGCTCAGCTGCATCCGCATGGTGTACAAGAAGGAGAGTGTAAGTGCCCCTTGGGTGGGCATGATGACAATCACCAGGGCCTCCCACAGAGAGCCACAGTCCCGGCACCAGCACATTGGCAGGAAGCCTGCTCTTCCCCTCTCATTGCACTTAACTCATGTTTTCCTGCTCATCTCATAACATACCTCTTGTATTATATGTTTCTTTATATGTTTATTGAACTTACCCCTGTCACCTAGTACAATGTTATTGAGGAGGAAAGAATGGCTTTACGGAACTTCTCTAGAGAAGTTCTGAAGAATTTAGAAGCACAGTGTGGAAAAATGCTACAAAAAACAGGATGACCTGTCAGTTTTCAAAATCGAATGAGTGACTGGTAATCCATGTGCTCACAGGCTTCCCTTTATCTGGGCAGGCTAGGCGGGCAGGAGGAGCCACCACTTCCCATCTTATATACTGCCTGGACAGCTGGCTTGCTTCATATTTGACCAGGGGTCCCCAGGCTTCTCTTCTCAAAGGAAAAAACTATTTTGCAGGAGTCCTAAGGTGTGAGTATGCAAATAGTTAATGTGCTTGGCTGCTAACCAAAAAACTGGAGACTTGAGTCCACCCAGAGGCACCTCTGAAGAAAGACCTGATGATCTACTTCTGAAAAATCAGATCTTGAAAACCCTGTTGAGTGCAGTTCTACTTTGACAACCATGAGTTGTCATCCATTTGACAGCAACTGGTTTTACAGTTTTATTTTGGAGAAGATGCATGAGGTCCCTTTCTTGAGAATTAATGTGTGCTTTAGGAAGACTTTCTAAGGTCCCTCTTTTGGGGATTTCAAATGACTGTTAAAATTTTGGGTGAAATGACCTGCTGATTTTAAGAAATTGCCAGGTGTCAGCCTAGTGGCATATGGCTTTTCCCTGAGTCACTGGAATTGTGGCCCCACTGTTGGTCATGTCCCCACAGACTCTGTTCTAAGAAGTGCCTCAGAGCTTGCAAGCCTCCTGCCTGTACCTAGAGTGTATCTGGCTTCAGCATGTTGTTTTAGTTTTCCTGGTCTCCTGCTTTCAAATCAAAGGCAAGTGCTACATATTTAGAACTTGATGTTCCAGGGAAAGGTTATGTGATCCTCAGTTTCCTGAAAGACAGCCATTGATCTCCTTATTGGCGCACATCCCCAGCAGTGTTTGCCAGCCACACCCAAGCTTCGGGGTTTCTTTTGGGACTGTGGCACTCCTCTGAGACACAGCAGCGCCTCAGGGCTAAGCCATGCCACACATTATCTAAAGGGTCTTGTGATAGAGGAAGATCCTGAAGCACAGTGTGTGTGTGTGTGTGTGTGTGTGTGTGTGTGTGTGTGATGTCTTGACCATGGCAAACAGAGTCACAGCCTATGCAGTTCAGGATTAGTGGTCTGTACAGCCTAAACTGTGTACAATGAATGGGACAGGAGCCAAAATGTGTATGCTGTCCTGAAGTCCCCCATGGGCCTGTGGAATTTTCCAATTTTCAGCATGCCTATGGTGTTGATTAGTAGCTCTGGTAGCGTAGTGCCTAAGGCACTTGACTACTTGACTAACCAGAAGGCTGGCGGTTCAAACCCACCAGCCACTCCTTGGAAGGAAGGTTGTGAAATCTACTTCCATAGTGATACTGCCTTGGAAACCCAAGGATGGGTCGCTATGAGTTGGGTCTCACTCGATGGCACATAACAACAACAACATGGTGTTGGCTGAGAAGGCAGTGTAGAAAGGACTCTGACCTCAGCCTTCAGTGTTCTATTCGTACATAGCTTCTTCCTGCTGACCTCCTGGAGTTCCCCTCTCCAGCTACTTTAGCCAAGGGACAACCAAATTCAGGGACACCAGACTCAATTGGCACAACAAAATACATAAAAATCTTGCTCCACAACCTACTTTGGTGAGTAGAGACTGGGGTCTTGAAAGCTTTCGACTGTGCATCTAAGATACAACTAATGGTCTTCTCTCGTCAGAAGCAAAGAAGAGTGAAGAAAACCAAGGGCATTTGGAAACAATCAGCCCTAGCACAGGATGGACTTTGGGACCAGAAGAACTAGATGGTGCCTGGCTACCAATGTCAACCACTAGGGAAGAAATCAAAACTGGAGATCCTGGACAGAGTGGGAGGAAAAACATGGAAAAAAATATAGAAACACAATAATTATCAGAATATCAGAATTACTGGTTGGATGGAGGCTGGTGGGACCCCCAAGACTATGGCCCTGGGATACAGGCCTAGGATAAAACTCACTCCCAAGGGCTGGCTCTCAGTCCAACAGTAAATAATACTTACATGCGGAACACTCAACCCACGGCATGTACCCACCTACTCTACAGAGATATATCCCTTGGAGCAATTGGCCAGGGGGCACCAGAGGGGCAACAGTCACACAGAAAAAAAGCTGGACAGACAGGAGTACATAACTAAGAAGGGCATGGGGGGGCAGGGGGCGGATTACTGAGAAGGGAGAGAAGAGTGGGTTAGGGTTGGGGTTGGTAACTGTGGAGTGAAACCAAATGTACATGAAATGTTAAATGTAAAACAAATTCTGCTCTATAAATTTGTACCTAAAGCACAATTACAAAAAAAAAAATAAATAAAATAAAAGAGATAACCAAACTCAGAGAGAGGCCCCACCTGCAGGCTAGCCCAGGTGTCCCCTTGGAGGACTGGTATCGTCTTTCCACCCCCTCACTTGTCAGTTTGTGTTCCCCCCCATCACCCCTTAAATGCTCCCTCCACAGCCCACAGGTTGTGAGGTAAGGGAGGGCAGAGACACTTTCTTTATTTTTGTTTCCAGGGCCTGGCACATTGGCAGGTGCCTGGAGAATGCACTCTGAGAGGCAAATGGGGAGAGGGTGTGAGGGACTTAGCCAGCCCACTGTCCTAGTAGGGCCTCCATAGGCTCCTCCTCAGCCAAGAACACTGCCACTGCAGTGGCAAATCACGGTTCTGGCATGAGTAAAGCTTCCTGGGCAGGGATCAAAATACCAAGCAGAAATTAGTTCCTCCTCAGGGTGAGAGGGAGCTCTGGTAGCATAATGCCTAAGACACTTGACTGCTAACCAGAAGGCTGGCAGTTCAAACCCACCAGTCACTGCTTGGAAGGAAGGTTGGGCAATCTACTTCCGTAGTGATACCACCTCGGAAGCCAAAGGAGGGGTCACTATGAGTCAGATCAGACTTGACGGCAGATAACAACAACAGCAAAAACAGGGTGAGAAGCCCTGCCACTGAATCTAGAGCAGCCCATGACTAGATTCCTAAGCTGCCATAACAAATTCCCTCAAATGAGGTGGCTTACAAAGGAGCTTTGGTGGCACAGTCCCTAAGGCATTTGACTGTTAAGCAGAACGTTGATCATTCAAACCCACTAGCTGCTCCTCGAAAGGAAATGGGCAATTTACCTTTCTAAAGATTTACCACCAGGTTAGAAGTCCAAAATCAAGGTGTCTGCAAGGCCACACTCCCCCTCTGAAGGCTCTAGGGGAGGATTCTTCCTTGTTTCTTTTTAGCAGAAGTCAACAGATGTTGGTGATCTTTTGCTTGAAGCTGTATCACTTCTATTTCTGTCTCTGTCTTCACATGGCCTTCTTCCCTCTGTGTGTGTCAGTGTCTCTGAATCTCTCTCTTCTTATAGGGACACCAGTTACTAGGTTTAAGGCCCATCCTCATCTCATATGACCATATCTTAACTTGATTACATCTGCAAAGACCTTATTACCAGATAAACTCACATTCACTGCTACAGAAGGGTGGGATTTCAACATATCTTTTTTGAAGGATGCAATGGAACCCACAGCAAGCTCCTCACCCTCCCCTCCTTCACCCCTGATATCTCCCTATCACATCAGCATCTTCTCCTAATTACCTCACTGACACATTGGTTTTGGTATTCTGGGTGGTTTGCCACCAACCTGCGGGCTCCATGAGGCAGTCTTGGCTGCGTGCTCTGGAGGAGGGTGAGGGGCAGCAGGGAGGTCCGTCCCTGGCCTGTAGGCACAGACCTCTCCCCTCATTATAGCAGCCTTGGACCCTCACTCTTCTTCCCACTGGGCTTCCTACAGGTGTTTGGCTTCTTCAAGGGCATGTCCTTCCCCCTCGCCAGCATCGCTGTCTACAACGCCGTGGTGTTTGGGGTCTTCAGTAACACTCAGCGGTTTCTCAGCCAGCACCGCTGCAGGGACCTTGAAGCCAGCCCATCCAGCACCCTGTCTGACCTACTCCTGGCCAGCATGGTGGCTGGTGTAGTCTCTGTCGGGCTGGGTGGGCCTGTGGACCTCATAAAGATCCGGCTACAGATGCAAACACAATCCTTTCGAGGAGGTAAGAGGCCAAGGCAGGAGGGGCTGGTATTTGGAGGTCTGTGTCCCTCTCCTGGTTTGCTGGATCTAGGATGCAGTTCTTGACATCGTTTTTATTGAGCAAGGCATCTATGTTGTCACATAACAATTTGTAATTATTATTGTTTCATCTGTTGTAGTAGCTACTATCAGTTAAGTATTTATTATGTGCCAGGCACCTTGCTGAGAGTCTTGCATATGTTCTTTTTTGTGTGTGTGTGTGTGTGTGTGTGTGTTTTATTGTGATTTGAGTGAAAATTTACAGAGCAAATTAATTTTCCATACAGCATTTCATACACATTTTGTTTCATGACATTGACTGCAAGTCCCTTTCTCCCCACTTCCTCCCCATATTTACCTCTTCCCTGTGCCCTTCTATCTCATCCACTCCCCCCCTCCAAGCTATCTCCCTGTGCAAACACTACCATTCTGTTCTCCCATGATTTATCCCTCCAAAAAGAGTATTTACTTGATGTAAATGTTCACCCATATGTCTGTCTATTGTTTGGCTGGAAGCTACAGGAGTGTGTTCCGTTCTAAACCTGAAGGGTAACTAAGAGTCATAGTCTTAGGGGTCTCCAGGCTCTATCAGACCAGTAACCCTAGTCTTTTTTTTTTTTATGATTCTGAGTTTTGTTCCACATTATTCTCCCACTATTTCCAGGATCTCCTACACTGATCCCTTTTCGAGTGGTTGACAGTGGTAGCCAGGCACCATCTAGTTCTTCTGGTCTCATGGTCATATAGGGTGAGGATCCCATAGTCTACTAGTCCATTTGAAGAAGTTTTCTTCATTTTTCTTTGCTCTGGATGAGGAGAGACCCATCTTTGGATCTAGATGGTCGATTGCAAACTTTTAAGACCCTAGTCGCTACTCATCAAAGTAGGATGTAGAACAATGTTTTTGTGTAGTATGGTATGCCAGTTGAGCTTGATGTTCTCTGCAATCATGGTCCTGAGCCCATGGGTCCAACTACTCACTCCATCAGGGTAGCTGGCTGTGGCCAAGAAGCCATCACAACCTTGTCCCTTGTCAGCTTTGTTATATACCCATTCTTAGTGCATATGCAAATACACAGGTAGAAACATTATCTGCCAACCCTACACATGGTCATGGGCACACTCACCCTTACCTAGACATATCTGATCATTCAGCCTGTTCACTCATCTATCCACCTGTAGATCAATGCTTGCCATCACTTACAATGCAGTACTGTACATGCAAAAGGGTTCATCTTTGTTGTCTGTATCTCCTGTGTACCTCTTTATGTCTTCTTCTTTCTCAGTGCCACCATGTTGATCACTCAATTTTGGTACATTGCCCTTCCCTTCCCTTTAAATCAATTCTTCTCTTTACCTATCTAGCAGTGTTCCTTCCCCTCCTATCCCATGCCTGATGACCAACAAAGAAAGCTTCCTTCTATATATAAACCTTTCCTTGACTTTTTACAATAGTGAACTAATAACAATACTTGTCCTGTGATTGACTTATTTCACTCAGCATAATGTGCTCCAACTTCATCCACTATATGTGGTATTTCTACGTTATTCTTTACTGTTGCATAGTGTTTGATCATGTGTATGTACTATAGTTTGGTTAGCCATTCTTCTGTTGATTGGCACTTAGGTTGTTTCCATCCTTTGTTATTGCCAACAGTGCTGCAATGAACATGGGTGTGCTATATACCTGTTTGTGTCCTGGCTTTCACTTCTTTAGGATATATACCTAGTAATAGGACTGCTGAATCAAATGGTATTACCATTTTCAACATTTTAAGGAATCGCCATACTGCTTTCCACAGTGGTTGTGTCATTTTACAGTCCCACCAGCAGTGTATGAGAGTCCTAGTCTCTACACATCCCCTCCAGCATTTGTTATTTTCTGTGTTGTTGAACTTTTCTGTTAGTCCTGGGGTGAGATAGTATCTCATTGTCGTTTTGGTTTGCATCTCTCTAATGGCTAATAATTGGGAACATTTCTTCATGTGTTTGTTGGCCTCCTGGATATCTTCTTTGGTGAAGTATCTACTCTTGTCTTCTGACCCCTCCTTTTTATAAAATTTTTTTATTTTATTTATTTTTTATTGTTAGTCCTTTTGTTGTTGAAGTATTGGTGTTTTCTATAAATTTTAAAGTTAAATCCTTGTCAGATATATTGTTGCCAAATATTTCTTCCCAATCTGTAAGGTCTCTTTTTACTCTTTTGGAGTCTTTTGAAGCACATAAAAATTTAATTTTTAGAAAGTCTCAGTCATCTAGTTCATCTTCTGCTGCTTGTGCATTTTGGGTGATGCTTGATAGTCTATTGATGCCATAAATTAGGGCCTCTAAATTTGCCCCTATTTTTTCCTTGAGGAACTTTATAGTTTTAGGTTTCACATTTAAGTCTTTGATCCATCTGGAGTTAGTTTTTGTGTATGGTGTGCACTAAGAATCTTGTTTCTGTTTTCTGCAAAAGGATAACCAATTTTTCCAGCATCTCTTGTTAGAGATGATCTATTCCCCATTTAATGGATTTTAGCCCTTTGTCAAAGATCAGCTGACAATAGATTGATGAATCTATTTCTGGGTTCTCAATACTGTACCAATAGCAGGCTGTTTTGACTACTGTGGCTGTTTAGTAGGTTTTGTGTTCCAGGAGAGTGAGACCTCCTACTTTGTTCTTCAATAGTGCTTTGCTTATCCTAGGTCTCTTTCCTTTCCATATAAAATTAGTGATTGGTTTTTCAATGTCCTTAAAGAATGTTGATGGGATCTGAATTGGGATTGCATTGAATGCATATTGCTTTGGGTATTATTGACATTTTCACAATGATCAATCTTCCTATCCATGAACATGGTATGTTCTTCCATTTATGTAGATCTCTTACATTTTCTGGAAGTAGTGTTTTGTAGTTTTCTTTGTACAGGTCTTTTGTGTCTCTGGTAATATTTATTCCCAAGCATTTTACTTTTTTTTTGGTAACTGAGCTCTGGTGGCATAGTGCCTAAGGCATTTGACTGCTAACTAGAAGGCTGGCAGCTCAAACCCATCAGCCACTCCTTGGAAGAAAGATTGGGCAATCTACTTCCATAAAGATACCTCCTCGAAAACCTAAGGAGGGGTTGCTATGAGTTGGGACCAACTTGATGGCAGTGAATTTGGTTTTGGTTTGCTCTGTTTTGACATCACCCATTTCATTTCTTATTCATATTATTTGCATCTTCTTCTTTTCCTTTCTTAAGTTTGCCAGTGGTTTGCCAATTTTATTAATCTTTTCAAACAACCAACTTCTAGTCTTGCTGATTTTTTTTCTATTGTCTATTTTCAGTTTCATTTATTTCTGCTCGAATCTTTATTATTTCTTTTCTTCTGGTGACTGTAGGCTTCTTTTGCTTCTCTTTTTCTAATTGTTGGAAATATTGGACAAAGATGTTGATTTTGGCTCTTTCTTTTTTTGATGTGTGCATCTATTGCTATAAATTGGTCTCTGATCACTGCTTTTGCTGTGTCCTAAAGATTTTGGTATGTCGTATTTTCATTCTCATTGATTCAAGGAATTTTTAAATTTCATTTTTAATTTTTTCTATTATCCCATTGTTTTTAAGGAAGGTGTTATTCAGGTTTCATATGTTTGCTCTTTTTCCATTGATCTCCCTATTGTTGATTTCTAATGTTATAACATTGTGATCTGAGAAGATGCTTTGAGGCTTACTTTGTGGCCTAACATATGGTTTATCCTGGAAAATGTCCCATATGCACTGGAAAAGAATGTATATTTTGCTGTTGGATGAACTACTCTTTAGATGTCTATAAGGTCAAGTTGGTGGATTATATTGTTTAGTTTTTCCGTGTCTTTGTTGAGTTTCTTTCCAGTTTTCTATCTTTCATTGAAGTTTGTATTAAAGTCTTCTACTATTATTGTGGCATCATGTATTTGTCTTTTCAATTCTTTTGTTGTTATTCTTAGGTGCCGTTGAATCATCTCTGACTCATAGTGACCCTATGCACAGCAGAATGAAACACTGTCCAGTCCTGCACCAGCTCCTCTATCCCTGCTATACTTGAGCCCATCACTTTAGCCACTGTGTTAATCCATCTTGTCGAGAGCTTTCCCCTCTTTCATCGACCATCTACCTTACCAAGCATGACATCCTTCTCCAGAGAATGCTCCCTTCTGACAACATGGCCAAAGTAGTTGAGACAAAGTCTGGCCATTCTCGCTTCCAAGGAACATTCTGGCTGCACTTCTTCCAGGACAGATTTGTTAGCTCCTTTAGCAGTCCATGGTACTTTCAGCATTCTTTACCAGCACCACAACTCAAAGACATCAATTCTTCTTCGGTCTTCCTTATTCATTGTCCAGCTCTCACATGCATATGAGGTGACTGAAAATATCATGGCTTGTGTCAGGCCAACTTTAGTCCTCAAGGAGACTTCTTTGTTCTTCAGCACTTGAACAAGGTCCTTGACAGCAGACTTGCCCAGTGCTACACGCCGTCTGATGTCATGACTGCTGCTTCAATTGGTGTCAATTGTAGAACCAAGCAATGTGAAGTCTTTGACAACTTCAATCTTTTCTTCATTTATTGTGATGCTACTTATATGTCCAGTTGTGAGGATTTTTGTTTTCTTTATATTGAGGTGTAATCCATATTGCAGACTGTATTCTTCATGCTTCATCAATAAGTGCTTCAAGTCATCCTCACTTTCAGTAAGCAAAGTAGTATCACTTTTTTTATATTGTTACTCTTTTTTTTTCCAATATGG